TGCATGGCCAACCAGCAATGCTAAGGCACTCTTAAAGCTTCTCCATAAAAACATTTTCACTCATTTTGGAACATTACGTGTATTTATAAGTGATGAGGGATCCCAATTTATTGGAACTCAAGTTGCTATAGCATTGAATAGATATGGGTTGAAGCATCGTATTGCTACAGCATACCATCCACAAACTAATGGCCAAGCTGAGGTTTCGAACCGCAAGATCAAGCATATCCTAGAGAAAGTTGTTAACCCCTCTCAAAAGGATTGGTCTTTACGTCACAAAGATGCTTTATGGGCTTATAGGACAACATACAAGACACCATTGGGCATGCCTCCGTATCATTTGATGTATAACAAAGCTTGTCATATACCCGTAAAGCTGTAACATAAAGCTATATAGGCGTTAAAGCAATTAAACTTCAATTTGGATGTTGCGCGCAAGAAACAGAAGTTAGATATAAATGAGTTAGAGGAGCTGAGGAATGATGCTTATGAGAGTGAAAGAATTTATAAGGACAATAGTAAAAGATGGCATGATACGCATATCTTGCGAAAATAATTTAATGTTGGGCAACATATCTTGTTATTCAACTCGTGCCTCTAGCTATTCCCCAAAAAGCACAAATATAGATGGTCTGGACTATTTGAAGTGGTTGAAGATTTTCATCATGGTGCGGTGCTGATAAAGAATTTGGCTGATGGAAGCACATTCAAAGTCAATGGGCAACGTTTAAAGTTTTATTGCCAAATAACAAGCCTATCCATTTCTTCAATCACACTAAATGATCCTACCACTCCTTAATTTCTTTGGCATTTAATAAGTCATTTTGACATTAGATTAGTTTTAATTTTCTAGTCATTTTATTTTTGTATTTTTTTTATTTTTGTATAGCTTTTTGCTACATCATAATATTCATCTCTGCAATATTGCTTTTTCAGATGCTGAACAGTATTCAACTCTGTTTTACGTATCATATGTTGTGTTCCGTGTTGTGGCATATGATAGCTAGGGTCAATTTTGGGTGGTAAAAATGTGTGAGTTATACCACACTTTTCATTCTTGAAATCATGATCGTCTACCATTTCCAATTATGTCCCTTCATTCAAAATAACTTTTATCCTTATCTCTTTTCACCATTTAAAATTATTTTCATTTATTATCCTTTGCCATTTCATCATCCAAAAGTTCCCATTTTTTTCTTTCATCATCTGATTTCATTCTTTAGTTTTTCTAGTTTTCCATTGCACCAAAAAAGAAAACCTCTTGTCGACCACCCACACCACCTCCATGAGAGGAGCAGCCGTTGCTGTTTACTATCGAAGGGCCCATAAAATTTTTTGAGTCCAAAAATTAGAAGGGATATGAGGAAGTTTTCTTTAATTGGGATTTATGTTGTGAACAGGGCTTTGATCTCTCCTCCATCAATATTTTGTAGCAGGTGGCTTACATCACCGATACCATAGCTACTCCTGGCTGGGAGAAGTTTTGCGAGCACCATAGGGACATTACTCAAGAGATTGTCTAGGAGTTCTGTAGCAATCTAAACAATTTAATGAAAGTGTTATAGATACAACTACAAGAACAGTCACTAACAATTCCATAAGATTAATCATAATCATAATCAATTATTACTTAATAAAATTAAAATGAGATTTGAATTATATTCGAATTTAATTTAAAAAAGATTCAAATAGAACTTCCACGTAATGAAATTTAGACTAGCATAAATTTGAACTCAAGCCCATATATAATATTTACACATGGTGTGACTTAAATTAGGGGTCTGTACATTCCAGGGCCAAAACCTTGACATTGATTCATAGTTAATCTTAGGGGTAATCGAAATTCGATTCAAATATATATATATATATATATATATATATACTCGATTTGATGTTCGAAAAGTCGAATAAAATTTTTTAAATAAAGTTTAAGTTATAAAATAATACTTGAATAACTTGAATCAATCAAAATTAAATAAAAATACAAAAAGTTCGACTCGACTCGAATCAATTAGTTATAAAATTTAGTACCGTAAATATTGTAAATATTTACAATTAAAATTAAATAGAAACTCAAAAATTAAAATCGGTTCGACTTAAAAAATTTTAAAATAAAATTTAAATTATAAAATAAGACTCCTCAACTTGACTAACTTTATTTTTTAATCCGGCTCGACTCGAACGAATACTCACCCTTAATTAGTCCATATAATTTGAAGTAACGAGGCCATCTACTTCCATAGTGATGTTGATTAGTCTAAATGGTTAATTATTTCAATTAAAATATAGAGTTTAATTACAATTGGTTGGAAGGGGTGTTTTAAAGAAAAAGTCCATGTTACTATTTAAACCATAATAGTTAATGGTGTTAACTCTTTAGATTAACGAGTGATCTTGTAAAAGTAGTTAAATTAAATTGGGTTGAATTTAAGAATTTATCAAGTTATTTTAGTGATAAAATAAAAAAAATTAAATTTTTTAAATTTGAACAATTGAATCTGTAAGATATATATATATATATATTAATATATTAAAAAATATAAACAAATGATATTTTATAATTACTTTATGTTATTAAAAAATTGTAAAATCAAATATGTAGTTAAGAGACCAAATTCAGAAATTAGGCGTAATTAATTAGCAATGATGATGTTGAATAAGAAGAGAAGATGGAAATTAGGAACGATCCATCCCAGAGCACAAATGATAGCGTGACAGCGGGGCATGGCCCATGTAATTGTGGCGGTGCTCCAACTTACCAGCCAAATCTCCCCCCTTAGCGAACAAATTACACTTGCCAGTTGGATAATTGAAAAATCCAGCTATTTGGATGGAGCCCCCCCGCAACCATCGTTTCTTAATTCATCGAATTCACTTGACTTTTGTCAATTTTTGTATCCAATCTAACCAATTCAATTTATAATATAATTATTAGTATCTAGTTTATTAATCAATTAATTTAAATTAAATATTATAGAAATTTAATATAAAAATAATTTTTAAAACTTAATTTGCTTCATTCATAAAGACCGAAATTAACATTTTTATCTTACTTAAAGAATATAATATATCATCTCAATAAACCTACTAATTGTTGGTATAATTATATTTTCACTAAAATTTATAAATTCACTTCTCTAGTATTAACTTTTACATCCATTTATATATATATATATATATATATAATATGAATCACTGATGATTTCTCGAGGAGTTTTACTATCGAATTCACAAATTTCATGTTATAATAATATTAAAGCCGAAAAAATTAAGATTAAAAACACTCATGAAATTAATGAAGTTCAATTCAAATTATCTTACGAACCCTATTGACAAAAGATTGTATTATATTTTTTATTAATATGTGGTAAATATAAGATATTATATGTTTAAGTATAATTTTTAATCATTTATCATTGAACGTTTATATCTATAATATTATTAATACTAAAACTCGAAATTTCAAGAGATAATAATAATTTCTCGTGCTCATATCATGTTTGAATTAGAAATTTCATAACAAAATTTAGATTTTTAAGTGGAAAGGTTGATAGATTCTAGAGAGTGGAGTAATCATTTCATGAAACTACCAAATTAAAACATTGCAAAATATTGAAGGCGGAAATAACCTTTGTGTCTACGATAAACCCACGACACTTTTATACTAATCAAAGTCGCATAATTACCAAGCCCCCACTATTTCTTTCACCTCACCAAACCACAAGAAACTTAGGATAATTTAATATAAATCGATTTTCATGTTATATTTTATTATAAATCAGTTAAAAATTTAAGGTCAATTATTTATTTTATTATCCACTTGTTACTTAATTTTTATTTTAATCACTCAACTATTATCTAGTTTTCAAAATAACCTTTAACATTATGTTTTAGTTATATTTTGTAACTCGTTAAAAACTCTCTTTTTTTCTCATCAAAGAGATTTTATTAATAAAACACTATCTAGTTGAGTACCTCGTTAAAAAACTCTCCAACCTAGATGGATAAAAAGAGTATAACTCAACTAAGGGCAAAAACACCGAATCAACCAGAGAAAGTCTACAGCAAATCAAAAGCCATAAAAAAATTACCACCGAGCTTTAAACAAAATCTTTCTTTCTGCCGCAGCCTTTGCTAAATGAAAAGCAAAACTACTCTGAACCAACGGCACAAAGGAATATTTCAAACCTCGCACATCGCGGGAGATGGAATCGAAAACAATAAACAGACGCCACCTTGCCCAAGACCTTGCAGAAGGAAAATGTGTCCAATTTAGCACAACTTTAGAGCTCAGTTCGATACATATGGGACCTCTATTCGACCAGCCTGCCTCCTTAACCATTAAAATGGCAACTCGAATTGCTTCTAGCACCGCGATATCACGCCCCTGTTCAGCCACAGGACCCCAAAAAATAGCCCTCAAGTCCCCAGCCAAGTTTCGAAGAACCCCACCACATCCAACTCTACCATTAAGACAAAAACCCTCTACTCTGAAGAATAAAACACCTCCCAAAGGAGGAGTCCAAATTGAGAAATTCTTTTGGGGAAAACTTGGTCTTAAACACTTCAATGGGTCAATCCACCAGTCCTCTTCTACTGCCAATATTTCGTCATTCACCACCTTTATCCATATTAAAAACTTAATTGTGAGATTGATGTGATATTTTTTAATGTTGACATGATATTATTTTATAGTGATATATCAACATTATAATTAATTTTTTAATAATTTAATCAAAATAAAATCAAAATGTAACGTTAAATATGATTTTTAAAAAAATAATAATTTGGTGACTAAAACAAAAACTATGTAATAGACGAGTGAACAAATAGGTAGTTTACCCATAAAATTATTAGAAATGTTTTATGTTGATTTAAAGGATGTGTTATATTTTCCATGACTCAAATGACTTGTATAGGCATTGTTTATAAAAAGTTATTATTATTTGATTGGGGATGATACAACATTCCATATATCCTATATAAGTAGATACCACCTTCTTTTTCATTCCTCAATATTCCCCCCTCTGTTCTAAAGTGTTGGGCGTAGTTTAAGCAGAGAGGATGCGCAGGATTAGAGATCACCATTGTTCCAACATGATGCTCGATAATAAATTCTTGTTTCTGTCTGCATTTTTTTGCATTGCCGTTGCTGGCGTTTTAGGCCAAGCTCCTCCTACTCCTAGTAATCCTCCTACATCTAGTAATCCTCCTACATCCACGCCGGCGCCTCCCACGCCCCCACCTTCCACACCTCCGCCTTCCACTCAACCACCTCCGACACCGACCGCTACTCCACCGCCGGCTTCCACTCCTCCTCCCACTTCATCACCACCTCCGGTGACAACTTCTCCACCCCCGGTTTCAGCTCCTCCTCCAGCAACACCCCCACCCGTCAGCACTCCTCCCCCGGTTTCAACTCCTCCTCCAGCAACTCCCCCACCCGTCAGCTCTCCTCCTCCTGCTTCCCCGCCTCCAGCCTCTCCTCCACCGGCTTCTCCACCTCCAGCCACTCCTCCACCGGCTTCTCCACCTCCAGCTACCCCTTCACCAGCTCCTTTGGCTTCCCCACCAGCCGCGGTTCCAGCACCGGCACCTAGCAAGCCGAAAGCTAAATCTTCAGCACTATCACCGCTGGCCTCGAGCCCACCGTCTTCATCAACTGAGGCACCTGCTCCCAGCCTCGGCGCTTCTTCACCAGGCCCAGCTGGAACCGATGTGGTACACACACTCTTATTTACTACTTAACTAATAATCCATGTTCCTGAAATCCAATATATGTACATCCTCAAAAATATTTCTAAATCCCCGTGTTATTAAATCCGATTTGTTTTAAACTTCGATTTGCAGAGTGGAGTAGAGAAGATGGTTGGGAGCTGGGTGCTTGGATGCGCTGTTCTGGGTTTGATGCTTTAAAGGATTGGTGTCTTTGGTTTTCCCAGTTTCAGTGTTTATTTACGTTTCCATATAATATTATTACTGGGTGATGTCTCTTTTACTATGCGTATTTGATGGGGTTGTAATGTATTATTCTTTGCCACATTTTTTCTGATGCAGTTTCAATGTTCCTGGCTCTCTTCATTTTATTATTTCTTTTTTTATATATTCTATTTAAATCATCTATAATTAAGATATTATATTTTTAAACGAACCATTATTACATATTTCTTCTTGTTAAGATACAAAATACAAATTTAGTGTTAGACCTAAAATAATGATAATTATTTTTAGATAGACATATAAATAAATTTGAATGTTAGAAAATATAATTGCAGTCAAATCATATGAATCTATTAATGATCATATTAAAAGATCGAAGGGTATTAAAATCCAGAAATTTCAAAATTTAATCACTGAAATGAAAATAAAATATGGTTATGGTTTGGAAAGAATCAACATAAGCGATATTATCATATATTTCAAAATAAATAATTAATAATTTATGACAATAGGCATGGATGAATGCAAGACTTTATGTTAGGGGTGAACATAAACTTATAAAATTTTAGGGGACAAATTTAAACTTATAAAATTTTAGGAAGCGAAAACATATTTCAATAGAAAATACATAAAAAAATCTCTATAATTTTAAATTTTCAAGAGGCGACCGTTCCGTCTAGCTCCATCCCTGACAGTAGGGTAAACTACTTGAATAACCATCTCACTATGGAGTTGGTGTCGAAATGACTACTATTTTTAAAATTTTGTCAATATGATCATTTAACTAATTAATTTCTATCGTTTCTATTGAACAAAAGTAATGATATGACAGTTAATAAAATTAGTATAATTATACAATTGATCTCGCCACCTACTTAAAGAGAAAACAAGCATTAATGAAATATTGTTGTATGTATGAAACGATCCTGAGACTAGGGGTGTGCAAAACTACCCGATCCGTGACCCGACCCGTCGACCCGGACCTAAAAAAATCGGGTAATTTTCTAAAAAAATTACATGGTCGGGTCGGGCCCGGGTCACAAAATCTGGTTTTTCCGGGTACCCGGTTACCCGAGTACCCGGTTAGTTTTTATGTATTATATATATATAATATATATAATGAATTATTTATATTATGGATTATTAGATTTTGTATTTCGAACTTTTAAATTTTATGTTTGGATATTAGAGTATGTAATTCAAAGTTTCGAACATTTAAATTTGTGTATATTTTTTTTAAATTAATAATTTGAAAATGAAAAATAAAAAACCAGGTACCCAGATTTATTACTGGGTACCCGTAACATCCGGGTCGGGACACGGGTCAACAAATCACCGACCCGAAAGTTTCGAGTTCCCAAAAATATGGTACCCGAATTTGCACACCCCTACATGAGGCTTAGGATTAAGGTTGTGAACACTTTACGGGGAGGTAAACTCAATCTTTATTATTAGTTTGTCAAAAAAATTCATTTAATTAAAACATTAAAACTAATTTTAAAAAACTCTCGATTAGGATATAATATGTATAACTTTAAAATATGTCTTAATAATTGGTTGAAACGTGACACATCCTGATTGGAGGATCAAAATTTTGAATTAATTTAAAACTAAGTCTAAATTGATAGAATATGTAAGCATTGAGGACCAACTGTATAATTTTACCAATTTTATTAATTGACATGTCATCACTTCCATCAAACCTGCAGGTGCCTATATTGAACCCAATAAATCAATTAATTGGTCATATTGACGAAATTTTAAAAAATGATGGTCATTTTGTCACTAACCTCATAGTTACGTGGTCATTAAACACTTTACCCTAAAAAGAATATATATAGGGGAAAGGTGATTTTTTTGGCCGAATAACCTAGGTAGGTAAAATATTTAGGGTATTGGACCTATCCAAACATTATTTAGCAAAATATGACATTTGCTACAGTCCACCATGGGATATTGTTTTTTTAATGGTTCACGCATAATGGGCCCCACATAAGCCATTATTTTAATGGCTTAATAATGAATCGTTATGCTGAGGTAATGAATCCATTAAAAATATATTTTTTAAAAATTCTAAGAAAAAAATAAAATTTAGAAAATAAAAAAACATTTGATTTCGAATTCAAAAAAATAACTAGTCGTTGTTCAATAGGCAGACGAGTCAACGGTCACTTGTAACTTACCACCTAGAGGTGACAAGTTCCTTTGGGGATAATTTAAAAAAATAAAATTAAAAGAAAATCAATTTAATTAAATTTTACGAAATACAAAGTAAATTAATTGTAAAGAATAAATTTTTATATGAAAATTACAAATAAAATTTATGTATGTCTTCTAAGTTATTGACGATGCCGCAGAGTGGTCGAATGATAATGTCGTGGGGTCGTCGAGTACGCAGGGATCACAGGCCTTGATTGTTGTTATCGTCTTGCAGTGGAGGTGTACCCAACACACTCTGTGATCCACCTTCGAAATACGGTGATGGATTTATGACATTTGATGCCATCATCTTCTTAACTGCTTCGAATGTTCTGTCGAAGATGTTTGAGTGTACTATGGTGCATCCAATGAACCTCCAACCTAAATTGGTCGAGTCTCTGCTAAAGTATGATATGGAGAAAAGAAACTGAAACTAGCTTGAGATGCATAATAGTACTCTTCAGTCGCAAATGTTGAAGCGGAAGACGACGATGATGATGCTTTCTTCTTTGACTTGGACTTAGACTTGGTGCATGTTGCCTGATGATGTTGCATTCTGCCCTCTCTTCCGGTGTCGTGAGATATGGTTTTCCATTTTATTAGTAAAGCCGAAAATAGTGAGAATGGTTGAAATCTAAGTCCAACAGTTTAATGTCCTGACGATGGGGGAGCGATAATTCACGCTAATTCTAGAGGTCAATGTAGTAAGCGTGTCATGGCGGTCAATTTTCATCATGTTTCCCACGCGTATCAATTGTATGGAGCGCGTCCATAACAACCTCCATTTGCGTAGGAATCGGCTGGTGCGCCACAAACTGATGCATCACTCTATCAATCGCATGTCACTCAATAATCGCTTGGTGCAATAACTATGCCACGGCACACCATAAGTGGGACCCCTCAAGAAATCACCCTAGCAATACCTGTTGGATCTTCTCATCAACATACGAAAGCCAAGAGAACTGTAAATATTAAATATCAAAGTTATATATATAAAGTTAAAAAGATTCAAAAAATAATAATAATTTCGTATGTCATATCGCGAATCGACCAACAATATCGATCCTCATCCGTATGTCTAGTGCTGTGGCACTCACAAACCTTTTCTCTATTATTTTATGATGCCATCTAAAATATTTAAAAACAAAAAATTATAAGCAAATAAAAAATAAATAAATTTATGAAATTCCAAAAAAAGTTAAATAAATGAAGTTAAATAATTACCTTCCAACTAGAGAAAACTCAATCGGGGCATCTGTAATTGGCATAAAAAACTGGAAGCGATACCAAGCCCAGTACTGTAGCAGTATCACGCAGCCTACTACATCGGCTTTTTAACTCGGTGTTATAATTGCAGTCTTGCAAAGCTCCCGGTACAGAAAGGCTAGAATCGCCGAGCTTCAACTAGTATTACGACAAACAACAAAGTCTTCGAAAATTTGCAGAAACTGAGTGTGCACCTGATTACCGAATTTATCTGGTAATAACATCCCTTCGATCACTTGGAGAAGAAATGCTCGGGACGTGAAAATAACCTCACCCTCGGTAAACTTGCCCTTGACTGGGAATTCGGACTCCAACCATGTTATTATACTCGATAGGCCCTCATGACGTTGGATGGTGGCCATTTTTTCAAAACTTGGAAGACCAACGTCGAGGGGTCGTACACGTTCTGCCTCACAATAGGGGTTTCATTCACCGGAACCCCAAGTTGGTAAGCAATGTCTTCCAAAGTAATCGTTGCCTCACCACTCGGGAAATAGAACATGTGCGTCTTGAGGCGCCAACGTTCGATCAGAGCCTCGATCAACGTCGGGTACACCTTGAAGCCACGTAAAAATATAGTCAAAAATATACCGAATTGATGTAGATATGTCATCATCCGCTGATGATGCTCTCTGGTTGTCATCCCCCAACTACAAATACTTCATTTGTAGGCCTGTAAATGAACTGAACGTTCAGCGAACCGTTCATGAACCGTGCGGCGGGAAGTTAGTTTATTTATTAAATGAACGAACATGAACAAGATTTTGCGTTCGTTTAATTAAATGAACGAACATGAACAAATGGCTCCTTCGTTCATTTACGTTCGTGAACGTTCGATTATATGTTCGTTTATGTTCGTTCATTTATGTTCATTTATGTTCGAACAGAGGGCAAGTTGAATATGTTATGAAGATTATTGAAGTTGTTTGGATTTCAAGAAGATTGTTTTGTTGAACAAATGAACTTTAAGACTTTATTATGTTCATATAGTTTATTTATGATTTCTGTATGTTTTTGTCATATTCGAACAAATTAACTCTAAAGTTTCAGGTTATATTAATGAATTTTAAGTTGTTATTCTTGTTGTTTACTTTTTTTACATTCATTTGTTGTGTTCGAGTAAGTTTGTTTTTAGTGTTTGTGTTGTTTGTTTATGTTCATTTATTATGTTCGTTTATGTTCGTTCGTTTGTGTTGTTAATTTTCGTTTATCATTTAAATGAACGAACATAAACGAACTATATTCCTTAATGAACGAACATGAACAAAAAAAAATTATTCGTTTATGTTCTTGTTCGTTTATTTATTAAATGAACGAACATGAACATACCTCCGTTCGTGTGCGTTCAGTTCGTTTACAGGCCTATTCATTTGTCGTCCAACCCGCGTTGGATCGACGAAACATGGGTGTTATCCAGACGCAACATATATTCTTAGGTTACCATTTTTTTAGATTTTCGCACAACATATGTTTTTTCAATTTTTTAGGGTTTGGTGAAAAAACAAAACCTCAAATCTCTATTTATAGCCTTCCCCTAACGGTTATAAATGACTAGTTTTTTGAAATCTCTGGTTGAACTCGTCTACTCGAGATGATGAGTTCTAAGTGACCGTTGTCCCGTCTACCCGTTGAACAAC